AACGGCACATCTCCTATACGTGCACTTGACCAGTTTCCAAGTTTTCTTACAACTCATTTTATTCTTGAGCACCCGAGGTAATGACAGTATACGAGCCCACAGCAGTGGCTGTCTACATGCTGGTTTTATGTCCATGTTGGCTCTAAAATACACTTTTAATACAGCCTTACTAGAGGTCTTTGGTGATATGAGTCTGTAGTTTCCGCGGTAGCTACAAGTTGTATGAGCCAGGAGTAGTTTTAATTTTGCAAAATATTTCTTTGCAGGTGCAGGCCTAAATCATGCTGTGTCTTGGACTTAGATTCCAAAGCAGCAGAAGCAGACTTACAATATGATATAATAAAATGTGTTTTAAGAAGGTCTGAGACATCAGAAGGAGAACCACAATTTAATTTCTGCAAAAGAAAATTAAGGTATAGGGTTAAAACAGGAAAGAAAAAAGTAGGAACAATGACAGCTGGGTCCATAACGGCTATCATGTCAGGTCTTGTTAAGGAAGAGCTTTCCTCAGCTGATGCTCCAAAATGTGCATTGGGATTAGTCACATAGGGATTCCCATGGCCTCATCCAGCGCATCTTTGTTGGGAATTGGGTGGTGCCCCTATGGATGGTGTCCCAACAGGAGCAGGGTACTGCAAAGCTGCTGTGACACTCTCTGCAGCAGTGTTTTAGAGTCAGGGCATTTTACTACCCTGTGAACCTGGGGAGGAGGAAGCGGAGAAGCAGCGCTGTTCCTGTCGAGCCGCCTCCCTGCAGAGAAGCAAGAGTGAGTAACGCCCTTTCTTTAAGCCTTAAGGAAAGGGTCAGTGAATTTCAAAAGGGGCCACCGCTGCAGCACTGCAGAACTGCAGGCAGTGGAAGGATGGCTGAACAGGGAACTCCTCGTGGACCTCAAGAGGAAAAAGAAATTGTATGATCTCTGGAAGCGAGTTTTCTTAAGGGGATGCCGCAAGCCAAATCTAGCCCCATGTCTGCAAGGCACAGCTGTTGTTAGAACGGCACATCTCCTATACGTGCACTTGACCAGTTTCCAAGTTTTCTTACAACTCATTTTATTCTTGAGCACCCGAGGTAATGACAGTATATGAGCCCACAGCAGTGGCTGTCTACATGCTGGTTTTATGTCCATGTTGGCTCTAAAATACACTTTTAATACAGCCTTACTAGAGGTCTTTGGTGATATGAGTCTGTAGTTTCCGCGGTAGCTACAAGTTGTATGAGCCAGGAGTAGTTTTAATTTTGCAAAATATTTCTTTGCAAGTGCAGGCCTAAATCATGCTGTGTCTTGGACTTAGATTCCAGCTTGCAAGCAGCAGACTTACAATATGATATAATAAAATGTGTTTTAAGAAGGTCTGAGACATCAGAAGGAGAACCACAATTTAATTTCTGCAAAAGAAAATTAAGGTATAGGGTTAAAACAGGAAAGAAAAAAGTAGGAACAATGACAGCTGGGTCCATAACGGCTATCATGTCAGGTCTTGTTAAGGAAGAGCTTTCCTCAGCTGATGCTCCAAAATGTGCATTGGGATTAGTCACATAGGGATTCCCATGGCCTCATCCAGCGCATCTTTGTTGGGAATTGGGTGGTGCCCCTATGGATGGTGTCCCAACAGGAGCAGGGTACTGCAAAGCTGCTGTGACACTCTCTGCAGCAGTGTTTTAGAGTCAGGGCATTTTACTACCCTGTGAACCTGGGGAGGAGGAAGCGGAGAAGCAGCGCTGTTCCTGTCGAGCCGCCTCCCTGCAGAGAAGCAAGAGTGAGTAACGCCCTTTCTTTAAGCCTTAAGGAAAGGGTCAGTGAATTTCAAAAGGGGCCACCGCTGCAGCACTGCAGAACTGCAGGCAGTGGAAGGATTGCAAAGCATAAAGAGGAGGGAGAGGTGAAACCTGCTGTGAGAAATGGACAACTCTGCTAGTGGTGAGGTGGGCAATACGGCTAATGAGAGCCCCTCCATCCATGAGGGTAACGTACCCTGCCAGATGCCAGCCAGGACGTATCTCTGAGGGAGTTGCTTGAAGCATTCCCAAATGCACGCACAAATCACTACATTTTGAGCATAGCTCCTTTCTTGTGTCTGCTCTGTGCTCTTTTAACTGAAGCAGGACCAGAAGTCCAGAAAGAAGGGCAAACTAAAAACCTCCGTTCCACAGCTGCTGGGAGATAATGGTTTTGAACACCACTTTCCAACCTGAGCCCCCAGCCTTTCAAGGCGAATTCCTTGGACTGGGATTTGCACCATTTCCAGTTTGGAGCTGGGTTCTCACACGGTTTCAGGTGTTCAGCTGCCCTAAGAGCTTTCAGGGAACTATCCCAAATGTTAGCAAATAGATGTCTGTGTAAACGGAAGACAATTTCATTATACGCTTCTACATATATACATCCCTACAAACACACATACCTCTGAAGTTTGGCAGTTAGCCTGCTAGTTTTATTTTCTGTGTGCCCTCTGAAAATCAGAGACCTTGTTTAATGCGTGCACGTGATTGCGTTGGGCCTGCGCTCCTTTCCACAGTGGTAACCTTGTTGCTCTGGCTGTCAGCGTGTCCCGGTGGGCCAAGGTGAGCCAGGGCCAGGGGCCTGGAGTGAGAAACCAGGAGGAATTGCCCCCTCTCGCTCAGCTGTGGAGATGGCCAGGTTCAAGCCTCTGAGCAGTGTGAGGAGGAGGAGGCGGCGCAGCTGCTCCCAGGGCAGCAAGACATGCTGCAGGGAGGGTTTACCAGGCAGTCCTTGCGTTGGCAGCGAGAGCAGTTGCTGTTCAACCCAGCTAGACAGAAATACACCCAGAGAAGCCCTGCTACAGGCATACGGGTAGGTAGTGCCGGGAGCTGGCTGGCCCCATGGCCCTAGCTGCACTTACTGCTCGCTATGGGAGGACTTCTGCTAGGACAAAGGTGTGAGCCTAGAGTTTTCCAACACTGCTCTACAGCACATGAATTATTCAAAGAGGAGAAAGAAACTGTAACCAGTTCTGCAACAAAAGAGACTCCAGCCAAGCAAAACATCCTCAGCTCCCAAGTACCGCCCTCCCTCCCCTCCCTCCCCTCCCCTCCGTCTTCTCTT